ATTCCATAATCCTGGCACAGTTGATTTATAGAAAATTATGTTTTCTGGTTAAAAATAAACCAAGTTTAAAATAACATTTGTTTGGCCAGGTGCAGTGGCTCACACCTGTAATCCTAGCACTTTGGGAAGTCGAGGTGGGAGGATCGCTTGAGACCAGGAGTTTGAGACCATCCTGAGCAAGAGTGAGACCCTGTCTCTACAAAAAAATAGAAAAATTAGCCAGGTGTGGTGGTGTGCACCTGTATCCCAGCTACTACTTGGGAGGCTGAGGCTGGAGGATCACTTGAGCCCAGGAGCTTGAGGTTGTAGTGAGGCCACAGCACTCTAGCCTGGGGGACAGAGCAATACCCTGTTTCGAAAAGAAGATGTGTTTGCTAATCTAGGGAAAATAACCATGTAGTTAAGATTTCAAGAAATGTTCACACTTGCCTAAAATGTATTTTGTAGAGTAACTTGAACTTGAATTTTATCTACTCAAGATTTCAATTTTGATTCATTCTACAGAATTTTCTTTGCCAACTTAAAAATTGATCCTCTTTCTCCTGCCCTTAACAGAAGTTGTTATAGCGCTCTTGGAGTGTTCCTGGAGTACTTTTATTTCACGGGCCCTCATAAGCCAAATAATCTTTCTTCATAAAAGGACTCCCCTGTTACTACCACTCTTTCCTTAAAAAAAAAAAAAAAAAAAAAGTATAGAGATTTATTTTTAGTTCTTGTCAGGATATGATACCTAGTGACTATTTGTAGACCTCTATTTCCTCAAATTTAATGCTGCTTTAAACACGTAAATCATCTTTGAAAACAAAGTCCAAAAAGTTTTTGCAAACTTTGCCTGTCTGCTTAACAGAGCAGAAACCTTATTTTATCTCTTGACTCTTGGAAGGGGTTGGTAGGGGCTTCTACAGGCTATTTGCATTTACCAGGACATGTTTCTTCTGAATAGATGTGTGTGCCTAGGAGTGTTACTGCTATTTGCCTAGCATTGTCATAAGGGAGAACAGGATTAGTGTCTAGTTTAAATGATCAGGATCTTGAAAAGGAAGTTGAGGAGAAGTTTTAAATTACTGGTAGAGCTAGATGGTAGTAATTGACATTTATTTTGGGAAGTAACTTTAAAAATTACTAACTGCATTTGGTTTTCTGTATCAAATGTAGCTATAATTATCTTGTACAGTCCAGACTTTAAGTTTTACATGGCCGACAACTCTACTGTATTTTGTACCTCCGACAGATCCTGTTTTATTTCCCTTGACCATTTTTCTACAGATATTTGTCAGGATACAAATCAGGTTCTCTTCAAATGCTGCCAGGGATCTGAAGAGGTACCCTGCAACAAACCAGTTCCTGTAAGCCTCTCTGAGGATCCCTGCTGCCCACTGCATTTCCAGTTGCCTCCTCAGATGTATAAGCCCGAGCAGGTACTGTCAGTGCCAGACGATCTGGAAGCCGGCCCCATGGATCTGTACTTGAGTGCTGCTGAGCTTCAGCCCACTGAGAGTTTACCTCTGGAGTTCAGTGATGTAAGTTAGAGAAGCTCTGTTCTGGTTGGCCCTTGAGATAAAGCCTTATTTATTAATGGTGAGGATAGGTTAGTCTTTTGTGGTTAGGAGAGTTGTAAGTTTTTGAAGTGGTATATGAATTATTGTATTTGTATGTTAGCATATTTATTTAGAGACTTCTGCCATACCTTATTTTTTTCATCCTTTTTTGAGAGAGAATTCACATACCATAAATTCTACCCTTTGAAATTGTATGATTCAGTGATTTTTAGTATATTCACAAAGTTATGCAACTGTCGCCACTAATTTCAGAATGTTTTCATCATCCCCCAAAGATGATGCCAGTACCAATTAGCAATCATTTCTCATTTTCTTTTGCCTCCATCCCCTAGCAACTATTAGTCTACTTTTTGTCTATAAATTTGCCTATTTTGGACATTACATACAAATGTAATCATATGTGTGGCCTTTTATGTCTGGCTTATTTCACTTAGCATAATGTTTTCAAGGTTTATCCATGTTGTGATAGTATGTATCAATAGTTTATTCTTTTTTATGACTGAATTAATATTACATTGTTGGGATATACCACATTTGAAAATTCTAAATCTATCCGTTGATGGACATTTGTGCTGTTTCTACTTTTTGGCCAGTAAGGAATATGATGCTATGAACATTCATGTATAAGTTTTTGTGTGGACACATGTTCAATTCTCCAGTTCTCTCTGTCTGTGTACTTAGCAGTGGACTTATTTGTCAAACCACTAATTTCATTTAGACAAAAAAGCAAGATTCTTCTATTTTGTTGACTTAGTATTGATACTTCCAAAACCACTTACAAATTTAAATTCACAGAAGCATTTCTTTTTCTGAGAGAATGATAATGGAGATTATAAAGTGAGGGAAATTGGAAAGGCAAGATGATGGTTAGATTCGGTGTAGCCTAAAGATTTGGGTACCTATCCCCAAGGTGAGTTTGATTCATTAAAATCATAAATGAATTCTGATTTCTGTAGATATCATCTCTCGAACTTAGTAAACTTCTGTTTTGGCTCTACGGTAAAGGTTTTTATTTTCAGATTAATAATGTCCTCCAAGAAATGACTCTAAACTAGGCTCTGGCTATTCTTTCCATTTTCGATATGTTACAGTTTCTATTGTGAACTGACTGAAACAACAGTACTCTCCCAAGTATTTGCTCTTACAGCCTTCTAAGTATGCACACCACTCTACCTTTTTCAACTTTTTCCTCAATTGGTCCTAGTCTCATAAATCTGTCTCTGATTTCATTGGTTTCCCTAATTAGCACTGATCTATCATTTGACTTTAGAGGCATTTCATCTCTCTTGGCACTTTCACTTAATCTTTAGTCTTCTAGATAAAGGTCTTCTTTATTTTTTCTGAGGATAAATTTTCCAAATTTCATAATGAAGGTGTCTTTCATATAATCATAACATGATTAAGGTGACAGATCTAAATGGAAAATTCAATATAGGTTCCAAGATTATTTGCCAAGCGTAGTAAGCAAGATTTGGGTGGCCTCAAGGGTCTCTTTCACTAAGAAAGATAGGACAGAATAATTTCTGAAAAAGAAAAAGTGCTATTGAGAATATACTGGTTTCAGTCTTTTTGTAATCTCTCCCTTTTAAAAAAGTTGGTTGTATACTGTCTGTGGGTTTATCAAATTTTTGATTTTTGTTACTTCCTTAGAAGGAAAATACAAATTTTTTTTTGCAACAGGATCTCACTCCGTTCCTCAGGCTGGAGTGCAGTGATGTGTTCATAGCTCCGTGTACCCTAAAACTCCTAGGCTCAAGCAATCCTCCCACCTTAGCTTCCTGAGTAGCTGGGACTAAGTTGTGCACAAACACACCTGGCTAAGAAAAATATAATTTTATTATAACCTTGATTATAATTGTTTTTTATAAAGTCTGTTTCATAGATTCATAAAATATGAGAACTAGAAAATAGCTTTAGAGGCCGGGCGTGGTGGCTCACGCCTGTAATGCTAACTAACACTCTGGGAGGCTGAGGCGGGAGGATCGCTCAACGTCAGGAGTTGAAGACCAGCGTGAGCAAGAGCAAGACCCTGTCTCTACTAAAAATAGAAAGAAATTAGCTGGACAACTAAAAATATATAGAAAAAATTAGCTCGGCCTGGGTGGCGCATGCCTGTAGTCCCAGCTACTCGGGAGGCTGAGGCAGAAGGATTGCTTGAGCCCAGGAGTTTGAGGTTACTGTGAGCTAGGCTGACGCCACGGCACTCACTCTAGCCCGGACAACACAGTGAGACTCTGTCTCAAAAAAAAAAAAAAAAAATGTGTTGTCAGATTTGTTGATCCTTATTTGTGGCATGAGTTTTTCAAAGAATGCATCAGAAGTAACCTTATTTTTGAAAATCCAGTGGATTTTTAAGATGAGCCTTTGTTGGGCTAGGCAGGTGGCTCACACCTGTAATCCTAGCACTCTGGGAGGCTGAGGCGGGAGGATCATTTGAGCTCAGGAGTTCGAGACCAGCGTGAGCAAGAGCAAGACCCTGTCTCTACTAAAAATAGAAAGAAATTAGCTGGACAACTAAAAATATATAGAAAAAATTAGCTCGGCATGGTGGCGCATGCCTGTAGTCCCAGCTACTCAGGAGGCTGAGGCAGGAGGATTGCTTGAGCCCAGGAGTTTGAGGTTGCTGTGAGCTAGGCTGACGCCACGGCACTCACTCTAGCCCGGACAACACAGTGAGACTCTGTCTCAAAAAAAAAAAAAAAATGTGTTGTCAGATTTGTTGATCCTTATTTGTGGCATGAGTTTTTCAAAGAATGCATCAGAAGTAACCTTATTTTTGAAAATCCAGTGGATTTTTAAGATGAGCCTTTGTTGGGCTAGGCAGGTGGCTCACACCTGTAATCCTAGCACTCTGGGAGGCTGAGGCAGGAGGATGGCTTGAGCTCAGGAAACTAGTCTGAGCAAGAGCAAGACCCAGTCTCTACAAAAAAATTAAAAAATCAGCTGGTAGCTGGGCATGGTGGCACATGCCTGTAGTATCAGCTACACAGAAGGCTGAGGCAGGAGGATTGCATGAGCCCAGGAGTTTGAGGTTGCAGTGAACTATGATGACACCACTGCACTGTATCCTGGGTGACAGAGCAAGAGACTGTCTCAAAAAGGGAAAAAAAAAAAAAAAAAAAAAAACCTCTGTTGCTAAAGGTGTTTAAAAATGATAATCAGGTATTTGTACTTGATCATCTACTGTGTTCGTATTCATGTACTTTTTGATAAATCGCATTGTTTATTAAAAAATATACTTTGGGGGTAATAGTTCTCCAGAAAGTGTTGAAACAATCTAGTTTTAGAAATTTTTATCCTTCCATAAATTCTGGATATATTTAATAGTGTAAATTAGTGTAAAATTTTGCTACAAAAATATTTCTGAATCATGTGAATTTCACCAAGCAGTCTTAACTCATTGCCTATGTTTTGTTGTTGTTTCTATAACTTGTTAATGGTAACTTCTGGTAACTTTACTTATGGGAAGACCAGATACCACATATTTTATTAAAAAAAATTTTTTTTTTTTTTTCAGGAAGGGAGGGAAAGGGGAAATGGGGAGAGAGGACAGGTATCAGATATTAATATGGATAAAAATGCAGCCTTTCATTCTGGATATTATATTTGCCTGTTTTCTCTGCTTTGATCAAAGGATGATTGGCAGGTAGCAGCTTAATACCTTAATCCTATTACTTTGAGTTCCCTTTCTGTCTTTCTGTTTTTTGATGGTTTTTGATACAAGAACAAAATGTGGACTCTGTCTTTGTATCCTGATACTTTAGTCTCTAAACATTCCTGTTACAGGAATTTTTGCTGATCCTTTATTTTAGGTTCCTTTTCCCAATTTTAATTTTTGTTAAAGACAACACCGGTATATGTGAGAATAGCCTTTTCTGTATCTATTTTCCTTTGAAAACATTTCTATTCCATTGTCATCTTGAGACTTGAGTTCCTTTTGCTTCACTGCTTAAATTACAAGCGAATTATTTAGATAATAATTGTGCATAGTAAAAGAATTGCAGAAAATAGAATTTACAGTCTTAATGGTATGAGAACAGTGGTTTCTGTGGTTAGTGTGTAAGTTTCCAATATATCTGAAAATAGATGGTAGGTAAAGCAGCTGTATCCTTCTCCCTATGTTTTTGCTTAAATTGAGCAGCTTTAAGTCTAGTAGTTTTCTTTTTCTTCTTCCTCTTCTTTTTTTTTTTTTTTTGGTAGAGATAGGATTTTGCTGTGTTGCCCAGGCTGGTCTCGAATTCCTGGCTTCAAGTGATCCTCTTACCTTGGCCTCCCAGAGTGCTAGGATTACAGGCGTGAGCCACCACACCCGGCCTAGAGTTTTAAATTACATTCTTTTCTTTACCTTAAGATGAAGATGATCTTTTTAACGTGAAGATGATGATGAGTACACCAGAAAATGGGAAGGATTGAAAGTTCTTCGACTTATTTAAATGCATGGAACTAAACTTCTCATGAAGCTAGATTATTAGAAACACAGAGCCTCTGTAAACTGGATTGGGCACAGGGGTACAAACATTGGATGTTTTTAACTCTAGGGAAGGAGAGTTTAGCACTAGGTTATTTAGAAAGCAGTGGTACGAAAGTTAGTTTGATGTATTGTTTGAGCCTTTGCAATCCCTTAGGTCCTGAATCAAGACCGATGGTTTGCTATTGTAGCTATTGGTTTCAAACAGGAGCCAAGAGTGATGTCTTCCTTGTGGTCTGTTGGCTATTTGATATTGCTGTGTGAATGGCCAATTCACTTGGAAGAAACATGGTCTAGAATATGTCATTGTTGTTTTTTTTTTTTTTTTTTTT